AAAAAAAAAAAAAAGAATACATGCTTGTGGCAAAGACACAAAAACAAAAACACACAACCCTAAAAGATGGAGAGTAAAACTAAAGTTCCCTCTTGATGCCCTCCCCTGTCCTATCATTTCCTTTGAAGGAGATACTGCTAATTTGGTGTATAACTTTCAAACTTTTTTCTCTTTGAAGTTACATACATGCATACACTTATGTGTTATGTACAGCCTTCTGACCTGATCACACCTACTGACATCATAGAGAACTATTTATGATAAATATCCACAAACAACTTGAAGGAAACAGTGGTCAGAGCTAAGAACCATGATAAAATGGGGTACAGATTCCCCTGTCAGCTCTAACAGAGGTGTGCTGGTGCAGGACACAAAGGCACAGGGAGATCAGCAAGGAGACTCTGGCAGACTCAAGCATGTGGTGCTAAAAGCCAGGATACAGGCAGTATCAGTGTATGAATGGAAGGAAGGGACCTAGACAAGAGATTTTATCAAGGAAGACGAGGCATCCTGGTGACCAATCAGATATGGAAAGAAAGGACAACAGGATTATAAAGGAAGCTTAGAGACTAAGAAAACCTAACTATTCTACACAGAGTAACAACTGGTTTGGGAAGAAAAATGACTTCACTCCTAAATATGCTGACTTCGAAGTGACAGAGAGACACCCAGGTGGGTATGTCCGCTTGACGAGGTAAAGCTCTGAAGACAAATGGGGTGTAGATGGGAGACCCATGAAGTACTTGCGGTTCGGAACACGGAAGAACAAGAGGCAGGTTTGACGGCAGCAGCTCATGCATCCCCCCTCTAAAGGGAGCTGGGCAGCCACAGACACCTCATCCCTGAGCCCACGGCCAAAGCTGATTAGATTCCAGGTGGGTCCTGGACCACCAAAGGACAATCCAGAGAGTGGCCAGCCAGTAACCCATGTCACCTGCCTGTAAGTGATAAGCTGTGCCAGTCAGATTCTCTCTCTTAGGAATCTATGCAAAGAAGCATGAAGACAAATACTAATTAGTGGAAGCTGAAAGGATGCTGAGGGAAAACCAGGGCACTGATAAACTGAAGTCACTTGTAAGCCAGTTATGGGGAAGCAAAAACCTTGAGTGAGCAAAGAAGCCAGCAGGCAGAGTGAAGAAGGATGTAAAGAAAGAAGAGAAAAGCCAGGAAAGAACACACCACATGTCCAGGAGAAGACAGCGTAGCTGGCCCCTAGGGCTTCCTGGTTCCTACCGCCTTCCCAGCTGCAGCACACTCAAGCCCTCTTATCCTTCACTTGAGCAGGTCCATTACTCACAATTAAGGACTTGGATCTGTTGACCTCCCTACATTCAGAGGACAGGGGGAAGGTGTGGGACAGAAGGTGAACTTGAGAGACAGCAGGAGAGTCAGTAGAGATCAATGCCTGACAGCAAAAGCAGGAGAGAATCAAGGAGCACAAGATGGTCAAATGATTCAATACTCAAGGAGAATGAGGACTGGAAAGAGGCCATGAAATTGGAAGATGTGCAGATTACTCGTGACTGACCTCGGAGACAATAAAGAAATAAGGAGAAGTCAGATGACATGCCATCGTGTCCTTCCACTGACCACATGTCCCTTTTATACACTTACAGATACAATTCAAATTCCTAACTCTTCTAATGAATTCCCGGCTTCACTAGGTTCCACCTCAACTCTCCCAAAGCATTTTCCCCTATTCAACACGTAACAAGAAGAGTGAGCCCCAGTCCCTCACACTGCTCGTGGGTTCATTTCAACCTCCCTGCCTTCATTCATGTACCCTCCTATCCGAGTGGCCTCTGCTAATTCTTACTTATCCCTCAAGGCTGGTTCACATTCCACCTCCTAGGAAACCTGTCCCTGATAACTAAGGTTACCTATGGTTCTTGCCTCTGAACTTCTGGCAACCTCTGGGGAAAAAACTGGCTATTCAAAACAATTTGGCATATTATAAAGCAATTAAACTAATGTTATAAGCCACATTTAAAAATAATATTTGCTACTCATTATGTACTGAAGTCACCCAACGGTCTCTCATTCTGTTTCTTGTGCACACTGGCTCCCAACCACATCAGAATTTTCTCAAAGGCTCCTTTTTATGTATTCCACAATGTATTCTAAGAAACTGAGTTGGGGATTAAAATATCTGGGTTCAAGTCCCTGCCCTGCCAAAACTTTACTATTTGCTGAACTAGATGGCCTCAAAAGGCTCCTCCCAACTCCAAAACCTAGGATTTTATGGCTGATACACATTCTATATTTTACATATATAATTAAAGTCAAAGCAGATATGTGTTACATATTATCCCAGTGGTATACACACGTGTGTATATAGACACATAACATATATAGATATAAACACTGAACCAGCCCATAATCTCCAGTCTGTCTAATGACTGAAAACACCAACAAATTCTGTATCCCTCTATTCTAAATCCTTCATCCTAAGAGTTCTGTCAAGCAAGGACATTCACGTGAGCTTCAAGAGGAGTAAGTTATAAAATTACTGCAACCTAAAACCTGTTCAGCATATGCCTCCCACCCCCACCCCACCCCCACCAGCTGGTCACATTCCTTTGTCTTATCATGTGCCTTCCTGCATACGATCATCATCAACAGAAATCACTGTTATGGCACAAAAACAGACACTCAGATCAATGGAATAGAATAGAGAACCCAGAAATGGACCCACAAACGTATGGCCAACTAACCTTTGACAAAGCAGGAAAGAAGGGCCAATGGAAAAAAGACAGTCTGTCTCTTCAGCAAATGGTGCTGGGAAAACCAGACAGCGACATGC